AAAAAAAAAGAGCAAAATAAATCCAAAGCAAGCAGAAGGGAAAAAAAAATATTAAGAGGAGAAACCAATGAAATTGAAAGTTTCACTAGGATTAAGAAGATCAATAAAACTGACAAATCTTTAGCAAGACTGACAAAGATAAAGAGAAGAAACAAATTAATATAAAAAATGATACATATGATATCACTACATATCCTGCAGCCATTACAAAGATATAAAGGAACACTATGAACAACTTCATACTCATAAAGAAACAGACGAATTCCTTAAAAACTACAAACTACCCAACTCAACCAACATGAAGGAAAGAATCACCTTTTGAGATCTTAAAATTATGTGAATTTTAAGTTATTGGATACTTTGTATTACCTTACTTTTTTGAAAAAAAAGTAAACTTGGTTAGAACCCTAGTTCAGATACTTTGCTACACCGGGATGTATGCACTTGTATAAATCACAATTGAAATGAAACTCTGACACAAAGTGATCGTAAAGGACAAGTACATTTTTGAGGGTCAGCTCACTGAACTCTCCCATTTTTTAAAGATAACTGTAGTACATGAAAATCATTCATAGAAGTGGTACTACAACCATTGAATTTTTAAAAATAAAGGTACTAAGCAAAAGACTCCAACTCTGTAAAGATGTGGAATTTTTACTCACTGAAGCATTGGATCATCATGAACTCATGATGCATGCTCAAGGCGGGAGGATGGATAAAGTAGAGGTTTCCTATTCAGGTTACAAAGAAATCTCAGACTGTGTACTATTTACTTTTGGGAGACTCTTCTGATAACATATTATATCTGTCATATTAATGGTCATGTTGTCACAAGTACACCAAGTCTACTGCCTTAAGAATGGATTTGTGTTGGTTAGGGCCCTGAAAATGCCAGAACTGTGGCACCAGAGATGTGAGGGTTTGAGGGAAGATGCTTTGAGCTAAGCAATAAACTCTCCAGTTAGGAAAGAAATGCTGATACAGCCTACAAAGAACATCAGACATGACATTTGTTGCTTTAGAATCTGAGCATATTTATAGGCAAGGCAGAAGAAAGAGCATTTTGGCTCACTTATAAAATACAGAAATACCATCATTCTAAAAAAATAAATCACAACATTGTTGGCACATATTGGAGCCACAAAGAATCATAAGAAATGTGGTATTTTCTTTGCAAACGTGTTTCCTGATTAGAAACAAAAAGCATATCCTTGACTCATACAGAAATTGAAGCCAAAAGAAAAATAATATTTATTAGACAGAGTTGATCAGATAAAACCTCAAGCCTGAATATGAATAAACTTATGGGAGAAACATCTAACAATATGTTGTATCTGCTTGTTACATTTATGTTAATAGCAACTGTCTCTCATGGGGAGAGTCTATGTGCAGAACCAGAGGCTTAAATATTATATGCTTGCTTCTCTACTTGATCGGTCGTTCATGCCCTAGAAATCTGGGAATAAGATATGTATGGGAAAAGCAGTATCAGGTAGTTTGGTCATAGATGCATCCCCGATACCTAGTACAGTTTGGCACATAGTAGATGGTCAATACATAATTGTTGAGTGATACAATGATGAAGAAACAGTTAAGAACTTACTTAAATCTGTTGAAGAATATTTTAAAATATTTTTTAATGTATTACAAAGCTACAGTAATCCAAACAATAAGGTACTAGCATAAAAACAGATATATAGATCTGTGGAACAGAATTGAGAGCCTAGAAATAAACCCACACATACACAGTCAACTGATCTTCCACAAGGAAGCCAAGAATACACAATGGGAAAAGAACAGTCTCTTCAACACATGGTGTTGGGAAAACTGGATATCCACATGGAAAGAATCGAAATGAACTCTTATCCTACACCATGAACAAAAAATCAACTCAAAAGGGATTCAAGATGTAAACGTAAACCTGAAATTATAAAAATGCTAGAAGAAAACATAGGGGGAAAACTTCTTGACATTGGTCTTGGCATTGATTTCTTAGATATGACACCAAAAGAACAAGCAACAAGAGCAAAAATAGATAAGCAGGACTACATCAAACTAAGATGCTTCTGAACAGCAATGGAAACAATCAACAACAGGAAAAGGCAACTTATGGGATGGGAGAAAACGCCTGTCCCACTGTTAATGTTGGAAGCACACAGCTTGCCTGGTTTTACAGGTTCACAGCTAGAAAGGAGTTCTGNCTGCACACAATTCAAATACATAGTATGGAGGCAAATTTCCCCCAGTCTAAAATACTCCTTTATCATAGCAAAAGGTTAAGAATGACATCAGGGAATCCAATACAAAAAATTTTATAATTAACAGCACCAGGGGAGACAAACGATAAATTCCATTTCTCATCAATTAAGCTGGGTGCTGTGCAAAGGTTAAGGTTGAGATTGCCCACAGGTTGCCCGCTGCTGGTGTTTGATGCCCACTGCTTATAACAGGAACAGAAGATGCTTGGATAGTAAATATCTTTGTAAAATTTCACACAAGTTAAAACAGAAGTATTACATACTCTTATCTCAGTGAGAATCCTGAGTATCAGGTTAGCACATCTCAGAGCTCCATTTTAAGACATGATTGTAGAAGGTGAAATAGAAAGATACTGCAATATTATTTACTATCATTTAAAGGATAGGGGGCAGCCACTTAGGCCCGAGTCACATTTGTGAAGGTTCATGCCTCATTTTTCACCTGCCAACTTATCTACATGTAGAGGTTACGCTAAAACTTCAATTATTCTAAAGGATAAAAGAAGTGTTATATTTTGAGCTAGATCTCCAGTTCCTATTATACTCCAAGCCTTTGAAGGCTGAACAGGCCAAGTTATGAAAGGGACAAGAGGAAGTAAGAACAGTGGAAATTCAGCTGGAACATATGTAACATTCTGCCTTCACCATTCTACGTGGACAGTCTGCTTTCCGGGCAGCGGGTGGTGTGACTGTAAAAAGATCACACATTCATCAGTAACTGTGTAGGATTTTTTGCACTGGAAGAGTCCAGCATTACAGATTTAGGACAGCTACTAAAATTCTATACACCAAACTTTTGGACAAGTCTGAAATTGTTTGAAAATAATTCTCCTACCAAGTAAACCTTCTTGGTTCCCCTTTCGGTCCTGCCTGAGAAAAAACACTGTATAAGGAAAAGTAAAATAAAAAAGGCAAAGAATCACTTCACAGCCACCAGATGGACACCTGGCAGCTGAGCAACATTAAAACGCCATCCTTTCAAAAGAAGAGAAAATATAAGACCCCTCCATTAACAGCATTTCTTCTGCCACAGTGAAATGTCCCAGACTTCCCATTTATGCTCTTTTTGCGAAAAACCAAGGCTGAATCTGGACCTGTTCTTTCTGTATCTTCTCAGTGGTATCTGGACAACAGTGTGTTAAGTACATCAGACATCTAGAGTCCAAATGAACATAATCTAATGCACCCGGTATTTAACTAAATGGACCCAAGCTGTGCTCTCAATCCCCCTGCTAAAAATGAGCAGCCGGAGTAGGTGAAGCCTGTTGGTCACACGTCACAAAAAATATGTCAAAGTCAATATAAATTTCACCACAATAAACCCAACGAACAAGAAACCCTGGACGACATGTTTGATGTGTTTTTTTTCTCCCCCTTTCTCATTAGCCAGAAAAATGTTTAGATCTAGAAAGGAAAGGATTGGCTCTTTTAAAGCCTCAAATATTCCTCAAAGTCTTCATATATATATATATATATATATATGAAAGTCTTACTGGGAAATCAAAAATTCCAAAAATTAGTTTTCTGTAAATGGCCTTTCAAAATAAGAGTGTATTTCATTTATAGCCTACATTTATTATTTTTAAAGCCACTCACAAAAGTCTCTTGATACACTGCAGAACTTATAAACAAGGCTGTAACTTTTCAGAGGGTGTATGCTAGGATATTTGCAGAACCTGTACTAGAGTCTTAACTTCACTGCAAACTCAGGAACACCCCCTCCCCCACTACTAGTCAGTACTATTGAGGCCATGATTGCTGAATTTTTTTTAAAACATGGAGAATAAACCTCTGGGGTAAAGAATTCTCTGGAGAAAGAAAGAGAGAGGAGAAGGTTAGAAGTATCATGGAAGGCATGTGTGTGCAAAAGTTAATTTGGTTATATACAGTTCTTGAGGGAGCTGAAACTTGCTTTGTTTTAGAGTTGGGGAGGCACATCAAACTAAATAGTTTGCCTATGAGACACAGGGATAAGAAGAAAAACACAGAAGACAAAGGGTCCTTAATTTTGGGGGAGGATATATTCCAACTTGGGGGCAGGGTGAAGGCATTTTAGCTCTGAAGCTCAGTCATGACACTTCCAGAGAGTTCTGCAGTCCCCCGCATTCGACAGGACAGGATGGAAAGGCCTGTGTGTCCTGGCTGGTTGGACTCTCCTGTCCCTCGGCCGCACAAACAGTGTGTGACATGCAGGCAAGTGCCGTGTCAGGCTGGCAGCGCCCCTGAGGCTCTTGAGTGTTTATCAGCTCAGTAGGTCGAAAGTCTGCAGACACTGAGTGGAGCAGCAGTAAGCCACAAAACTGACAGTTGTCCTCCTGGAAGAGGAGAAAAGGTAGAGAAGGACACCATGAATTCAAGGTCAAAGTCTCAGGATTCTTTCCATCAGAGACAGTCCATTTCTTTGTTAAAATAAAACAATGGGCATGGTTCACAAAGTACACAGCAGAAACGTAAATTTCCTTTTCAAATTGAGCCCTGGCATCAGGTGAGGTATGGCTGTGCTCATTTTATTAGCAGTTTTCAGATGACGTAATATCCCTCAGTAAGCAGCTAAGGAAAAACAAGACTTTTCTATGTTACGCTCTGAATTCTGCTTACTAGAACCAACAGTGCAATGATAGAATTTGAAATCCATGAGAAAAATCATGTAACAAAACGTCACCAATTTAGCTAGAATACATACACATCAGAGAGCTTAGAAACATAATTTTTAGGAATTTATCCTATAAATGTATTCACAGGGATTGCTTGTAGAGGTAATTTTAGATTCTGAATAATGGGAGTTTGGAGGTCTCCTTCCCAGCAAAAGCAGCACTCAAGGGAAATTTATAGCACTAAACACATGCATTACGAAAGAAGAATGCTCTAAAGTTAATAAGCTAAGTTTCCACCAGGAAGCTGGGGAATGAAGAGCACCTTAAGTCTAGAACAAGCAGAAACCATAGCGCATGTTCTCTGTCCAATATGGAATCAANACACTTAGGTACCTTTTCTAACCTTTGACTTCCAACCTATTTGTGTCATTGGCTAATGTGTGTCTTTTGTAGGCAGCATATAGTTGAATCATAATTTTTACCCATTCTTCCATCTCTGCTTTTTAATTGGAGTATTTAATCCATTTACACTTAATGTCATTACTTATATGGTAGGATTTGGTCTGCCACTTTGTTATTTGTTTTCTATGTCTTATGTATTTTTTGTTCCTCTGTTCCTCCATTACTTCCATACCTTCTGTTGTGTTAGTAGATATTTTCTAGTGAACCATTTTAATTTTCTTGTTGTATTTTTTAGTATATATCATTTAGTTATTTTCTTAATGGTTTCCCTGAGGATTATAACTCACATCTTAATGTATAACAATCTAGTTTGGATTAATATCAACATAATTTCAGTAGTATACGAAAATTTTGTTCCCATAGAAGTGTGTTTCTTCCTTTGTACAATTATTGTCATACAATTTTTTTTCGTTTTGTGCCCATCAACAAACATAGATTTATAATTATTTTATGCAGTTGCCTCTTAAATCAGATAGGAGGAAAAAAGAGTTACAAAAATGCATTTATGCTGTCTTTTATATTTACTTATGTGGTTACCTTTATCAGTGCTCTTTATTTCTTTGTGTAGCTTTGAGTTACTGTCTATTGTCCTTTCATTTAGCCTGAAGGACTCTGTTTATTATTTCTTATAGCACAGGCTTGCCAATGATGAATTCAGTTTCTGTTTATCTGTGAATGTCATAATTTCTCCTTCATTTTTTATTTTTATTATTATTATTTTTTAGCTGAGCCATCCTGTCACCTGTTGGCAGCTCAGCGGCAGCTCAGCTCGGACCGGGAATCAAACCACTAGTTGCTCAGAGTTCGCACTCTTGAGTGAGCTCTTAACCTACTGAACCACTCGGCCGGCCCTCTCCTTCATTTTTGAAGAACAGTTTTGCTGAATATAGAATTCTTCTTTGATAGTCACTGACTTTAGCACTTTAAATGTCATCCCACTGCCTTCTGGCCTCCGTGGTTTCCAATGAGAATCCCTTGTACATGAGTCATTTCTCTCTTGCTGCATTAAAGATTCTCCCCTTGTCTTTAGTGTTTGACAGTGTAATTATGTGTCTAGGTATGAACCTCTTTTGAGTTTACCTGACTTGGGGTTCACTGAGCTTCTTGGGTATGTAAATTTGTGTTTCATCAAATTTTAAAGTCTTTGGTCATTATTTTTTTTCAAATAAACTTTTTGCCTTTTTCTCTTCTCTTATGGGGCTCCCATTATGCATGTTGGTACATTTGATGGTGTCCCATGGGTCTGAGGCACTATTCATTTTTCTTCATTCTTTTTTTTGTTCCTCAGGCTGAATAATATCAATTGACTAACATTCAAGTTTGTTGATTCTTTCTTCTGCCTGCTCAAATCTGATGGTGAGCACCTCTCAGGAATTATTTCAGTTTTTGTATTTCATCTCCAGATTTATATATTTTAAATAATGTCTTTTTTTT